ATCAAAGATGACAATTACATTACAATATATTAAGCAATACACGGACAATAGTTAATTTCATGAAATTTCAAGAAATTAAATTTCAATCTTAAGATTTGTCTTATTGGTTAAAAGCAGGATATATTGGAGACTTTAAATCAGTTTTTTTTGTAAAACAGGACACCCATTTACCAAAAATCTGCTCTGAATCATAAAATAAAAAATGCAATAAAACTATAACATTATTTAATTAGAAAAGATTTTAAATGCTGTTATAAATAAGAATTATGAAGGACACTATTGTCTTAATAATTCATTTTTTACAAGAATTGTTATCATTTTTAAAAATTTTAATTATAATAATTTATAATATTATAAATTGTTTAAAATTCTGTATTACTTCAATCCAGTTAGGTGATATTGTTATTAAGTGAAAACTATATTTATGAATCAAAAATTGAAAAGCTCAATAAAAGTTATTTCTACACAATATTTTTCAAAAAAATAATTTTTTTTCCATTTTTAAGTATGGTAGCCCATAGATGATATTATCCTTAAAAGGTCATATGTTTTAAAAGTTGTCCTACCCATGAAAAAATTTGATAGTTTGCAATTCTTTCATTATTCATTTCTGTATTTCATTGTGTTTATGTCTTTGCAAATCATCCCTTCAAAGTTTTAAAGTAAATTTTACTTTTTTTTTTTTTAATTACTATTTCACTAAATATTTTTATTTTTTTTATATATATATTGTTTAGGATATTGGATTATAATAATAAAAGTGTAAACAATTACGTAGCTAATAATAAAATTCAAAGTACTATAAAAATTTAATAAATAAAATAACTTTAACATTTCATAACTGTCATGATAACAATTAATGATAAAAAATAAAATTAAAAATAAGATATCAAAAGATATAAATTAATAATAAATAAAATACCATAACATTTCATAAATTATTGTGTTAAATCTAACATGGTATTTCACTAATATCTCAATTATTAACTTTTTAAATTAATTTAATAAAAATTTTATAGTATTTTAAATTTTATTATTTTTTTTTCAATCATCTTCAAACATAAGGCTATAAATCAAAGTAACAAAAATTCAATAAACTATTAGATAATTGCTGAAAACATGTTGATTTTTAAAAATTACTATGTTGTTAAAATCCTAAAAAAGCATTCACTTAGATTTTGTAAATTTATGTCAATTCTGGACAACCATACTTAGCAGTCAACACATCAGGCTGTCGATAAATCAATCAGCACACCAGAAAATCAAAACCCCCTGCTTAAGAAATGCTTGTATATGATGTTTTATGCTAGAAGTAATATTTATTTCAAATCAGATTAATTTTACTTTAAATTTGCTAATTTTCCTCAAATAACATGTCACAAGATACATTTTATTCTTGGAAGATTTTAAAAACCAAGAATTAAATATTGTTTACAAATGTGTCAAAATGTGTGAAGATGGCTGAATTTAAATGATTTTTTGAAAGCAACCAAAAAGTTGAGATTTCAATCAATATACTTTGTTTGAAATACACCAAGATATTTTGCTTACTGGAAATAATAAATTTAATCATTTAGCTTTCCTTGAAAGCTAAAATGAAAGCTTTTTCATTTATAAAAATTCATTTTAAACCAAGGTATTGAAACTGAGTGGAGGTACCTATATATATATATATATATATATATATATATATATATATATATATATATATATATATATATAATATAAAAGCTCAAACTCTAATATTCCATGGTTATAATTTATTACATTGGAATCATAATTACAATCCAATTCATCAGACCTACAAATTCAAGAAGAAATTGGAAAATATTTATTACAGGGGTGTGTGTGTTTTTCTTCTGGTGTACAATCTCTAAGAATGATTGGTTGGTTGTTTTTGTTTAGGGGCATATCAACATTTATGGTTTATTTAATGCCAAAATCTAAATAATTTGTATGCAGTTTTATCTTATTTTTGGAGATGATAATGTTTTAGTGATACAAGTCTCATAGCTGTGGGGAGAAGAGGTGGATTCATACTTACCACCATTTTCTAAAGACTTTTTCTCTGGAATGAACTCAACAAAACACTTGTGACAACAAAAGCAATGTAAAGAAAGAGTTCAATAGTCCAAACAATGCATGAAATAATAATTGTTATCAAAATTATAGATTGTAACTTTATTAATTTATTTTTCTAAGAGAAAAAAATTATAATCTAGATACTCTGTAACAGAAGTTTGAGAATCAACTTACTGTGACTATATTAATATATTACATTGTATTTGCACTCATTGTATCTTATTTATTTTACTGATGTTCATCCTATACAAGGCCTAAGAGCCGCTCAAACTAGAGCATTACTGAAGGAGGCTGTTTTATGAGCGGTAAGATGTGCAGTTTATAAGGATATGTGCGTAAGATAACAGTTAACCTTATACTTGGACAAAATTGTAATGGTCAGAATTGATTTATTTTTTATGGCTTATCAATCTGATGCATGTAGTGGCCAGGAAAGTATCATTTTGGGAATCAGTTCCACAAAGTGACATGATTGTCCAACCGTGTATCACATATGGCACTAAACTGACTGACTGATTCCATTTTAGGCCTGATGTGGCTCTTTTGATGGTAGGGTATAACAGGAGGAGTCAGGTACTTACTAAAACAGTACAAGGAACCAATCATTTTTTTTAGCATCTTTAGTGATGGGTTATATATGAGAGTTCCACTTGAGGTCTGGGGTTAGTGTAGGTCCCAACCCATGCATTGCAATAGCTGAAAATTCAAGTTCTGTTCCTTTATATTAGATGATCCCTTGAAACTTATGAGAAATGCTGATCAAAATATAACTTACTTATGATCAGAGAATAATTTAAACAAACTAATTCTTTTGTTAAACCTTCAAAAGAATCATATGCTTTCAAGTCTCCTATAATCATAGATAATGTAATGTGGAGCCCAACTTTGGTATATCAATAAAAACACATTGTCTGACTTGGAAGTTACTTGACATGTAAAACTAAACTGTTATCAATTATAGATACAGACTTGCAGGCATGTATTTTATATTTGGTCAACAAATAACTTTAAAAAATGAGATGAAAATTCAATACTTTTCTTTTTATCTCTGAGTTTAACTGATATAGAGTTCCTTTTTATATATTTAAATATTATTGTTTAGAAAATAATGACGAATATATATTTTTAAACAACCTAATATTTAAAGTATAATCAAAATTCATTGTGTCTTTATAATTCAAATCGGTTCAATGGCACATCATCATTTGATGATCAAATTTTGAAACATTTGAGAGTGAATTTGATATTGGTTAAAATGTTTGCATCCATTCAGAAGTACTTAAATTTATATTATCTAGAGAGAATCAAATCTAAACAAATCATCATTATTTTTTCCAAAGACTAAGATTTTCATTTGAAATTCTTTCATCATTAGCAGATGTCATACAGCAAAGAACCAATAAACAATTTTAAGACTCAGTAAAACTAAATTGTCTAATTTTGTAGGAAAATGTATTTTTCTGGTGGAGTTTTTCTGCTCTTTATAAAAGTGACCTTCATTTCTTTGGGAAATATCTCGTTTTTAAGAGAATTTAAGTAATAAACAGTAGCTCTGAAGTGGCAGTTCAAATGAAAATGTGTGTGTGTGTGTGTGTATATATATATATATATATAAAATATCAAGCTAAACCTCAACTGTGGCTGACATTATGAGATCACGTTCAATTTACAATGTAAATATACTGCTAAACTGAGCACTGATTTTATGTTTATCTTTATGCAAATGCATGAGTAAGAAGTCTAAAAAGAAAAGTTTATTTTATTGTTAATAGCTAGGGATAATATTTTCTTAACACTAAAATTTGAGTTTCTAGTTGCAGAGAAAAAGATAATGCAAATTTATTCTTTTGGCTTCTTTTCAGCCTTCCAATACTTTACAGTTATGGCCTAATTGACTAACGAAAAAACTTTTCTTTTTTTTTTTTTTACATGAATGTACATGAAGTAAGGGTAAGGGTTAGCATTTTACTTAGATCGCAAATCAACTGCTCCTATCAAATAAAAAAAGAAGAATTTCTAAAAGAAATCAAGGTTATATTTATTCAAGGCATATAAAAATATTTAAGAAAAATATATTTCCATACAAAAACAGACACTTTAACAGATTTTTAACTTTGTATGATTAAATGATATCAATTTTCTATAAAAGGGATTCTGAAAAGTTCTTGGTCTAACTTCACCTTTCAAAATCTGACCAAAGATTAGAATTTCTTTTGGAAGACTCTTGGTTAAGCCATTAACTTTTCAGTACCTTTTTGTAAGATTTTACTGAATTAAATTTTACATAGAGAAAAATTTGGCTGTTAAAAAAATAAACTGGTCATTTTAAGATCTTAAAATTATAGCTGAAGGACCTTTTTTTATTATTATTAGTAACCTTACAAGGACAAATCTATTCTCTATGTCAGACAAATTTAAGAGCTAGAAATTTTATACTATTGTCAAGATAATAAATAGGTTTTTATAGTTTTTTTATGTTATGATTATGCTTTTCTTACAACAGCTATTTACACTGTGATTACATCAGACCAAACAAAATGTTAAAAAGGATGCCAAATGTCATTTTAACTTGCATAACATTCATCTAAGTTAAAGCTGAAGCTCCACACAACATTAGCTGATGATGATTTGAGAAAACTGAATACAAAAAACAAATTAGGAGGAAAAGTTTCATAAAAAAAAACTCTTTTCGATGACTTTAAATTCCTCAACTGCTATAAATTTTAGCATAAAGTGTTTGATCCATACAAACACAAAAAATCCAAGTAATGGAGGGACAATAGTAGCAAAAACAAAGGCATATATATGCTCCAAAATGAATCTGTAAAAATAAAGTTATCTAACTTTCATTTGAGGACATTCATAAATCAAAAGTGAGGCAGCAGTAAAAAAGAATGTCTCATAATATTTCAAGGTTTTTAGCCCAAAGACAAGTTTGTTCGAAGGCTAATGATTTGTAAAGATTTGTCAGGGGTCAGTTTGAATACACCAATTTCATATAATGCTGCCTTGGGGTCAGTGACAGTGGCATTTGGATCCCCATTTGCTGTTCCATGATCTATTGCAACTTCCAAAACTTGTTTAAGTAAAATGGCAGATCCAACCTTTAAATTCAACAGGATACAAGCTTCCTTTATGCTGTGAGATAAAAAAAAAAAAAAGAATCAAAAGAAAATATACAATATACAATATACATATATGATTCATATTTTATAAAAAAATTCTAAAGATTTATTCATGTGTATAAGTTAAATATTTCTGAGTTAATATATCTGCAGTAGGAGAGGGTTATATATCAGTAGGTGTTGAAAAGTTCTTAACCTGACCAGGAAGCACTTAAAAAAATTCTGTTTTGTTATTTGGTCAGATTCTGAGAAGTGAATGAAATATTTGATTCTGAATTATTTAGATCATAACAAGTAATTTTTTTTTTGTAAAATAATTTATAAATTTAGTTATCTTCAATGATGAAGATTTATACATAAAATTAATTTTCCATTTTTAATGCTTCATATTTACCTTTTTTCAAGAAACTTTACATATTAATTAATCTCATCTATATTAAAAAAAAAAACACAAGAAAAAACATTTTGTAAAACCTATAGTTGACTAATTCATTTCTATTTTTTTTTTTACAATCTCATATATTGTTTGTGCTATACCTCTCTTCAAAACTTCCTTCAGTTCATTAATTTTCAAGTTCTGAGGTTTTCAATCATGTTTCTTTGTCCTTGAGTTCAAGGTTTCCGTTTCAACACATGCTTGCTCCTAGTGAATCATTACCATAAACTTTTTTTTTTTATAATCCACTTGTCAAGCTTCTATTGCTTTTTTCCTCAGATTAAACATGAAAATGAAACAGTGTTGAATGTGCATGTTCAGCCATGATTTTCACCAAAATAAACTAAAAATTATCACTTTACAATTTAATGCACAATCAAAAAAACAAGCAAGCTTCAAAGACACTTTTAAGATGTCCCTAACACTATGCAAACGAAAACATTGAGAACTTCTGTATTCATGCTAAAAATACAATTTAAATTTAGATTGGTATTAGATGAATTACTTTCATTATTAAGCATAAATGAGTTGCTTTTCATTTCATTGTTGTTTTTTAATCATAATATTTTAAGTTTAATACTCTCAAAATGTTAGAAGCTGCTGCACGAGATTAGTTTAAAGAATTGAAAAAGAACAATAATAATAAGAAGAAAAATGAGTCCCAAATGAATAGTGGTAATACTTTATGGAAGAATTCAGATAACTGAAAGTAGTAGCAGCAGCAGCAGCAAACAGAAACAGTATGAATAATCAGAAGTGTGTAGTGGCAGTATGACTAGATATTTAGGCTTTGTCTCCATGACTAAATCATTTAAAAGTGCCCTTGATGTAAGATGAGCTTCCAGGACATGGTATAGAAATTCAAATCAGAATACTTAAGCTAGATGTCGCAGTAACTCGAATTATCTCCCTTGAATCATTTCGCGACCTGATGCAAGTTGTAAATGAGACAATCGCACACAATTTTCTTCTAGGTAGAATGGATTGTCATTTTTTCAATGTCTCTCTCTTTTTTTTCTTTTTTAAAAAAAATAAAAATAAAAATTGCTCCTTCTCATAGATACAAGAGAAAAAGTTAAAATGCTTACTGTCTGAAGTAGGCATCTGGTTTCTGGGTATAGTCTCCAAATAATGGGAAAAGATTTCTAGTCAAATCAAACTGAAGTTGTGCAGCCCCACCATCGCTAAAGTAATTGGACAAAACCACCTGAAAAATAAAACATTTTGACTTATTTATATTTGTTGTTATATTCTTTAAGGGTGTGAAAAATTACAAAATGGCTAACAGAAATTGCCACCCAGTCATATGTAGGTTCATACTCTATTACCAACCAGTCATATGCAAGTTTATACTGTATTCCTTATTCATGAATAATTGTATCAAACTCAAAAATGCAAAATGATGAAAGAGGCAGACTGCAAAACACACAAGCATTAGTGAGTTTGTTGACTTATATCAACTACTAAGTAAATATTGTTCTATTCTAAAATAATAACCAGTAAAGATTTTCTGCAGTAGAAACCTTTCTCTTTACCTGTCTTAAGTTATCAATAATCAAATCTACAATTTTCAACTGCTTCTAAAATCATCTTAATTAGATTATTGACGAGTTGGGCAAACAGGCAACTATTTCATACAAAGTTAATTAGAAATCACATGCTTTCTAAAATTTGCTTGACAATGAAACTTATTCATAAGTGCAATTATTCAAATAAATTCTAGAATGTTAATAATTCTTTAAAATTAAGAGACTATATATTCATGCTTTTTTACATACAAGTATAGGTATTTGGGGGTACATTATATATAAGGTTATGCTAAGGAATACAGAAATGCATTATGTTGTGTGGTGTTTCATTCAGATTATTCAAGTTAATTTACAAACAATTTGTGCCCTGTGTTAGAATCACATCATAGTTAATTTGTCAAGGAGAAAGCTTCTTGATAACATCAAACTGTGGAATTATCCCAGCATGATTGGAAAGTGCCTGAAAAATATGCCATGAATTAACTCAAGCCTTGTAGGTAAGATTGGGTAGATTAAACCGTTCAAGAATTAATATTGTGCTAGTGTGAAGTCACAAGTCATTGTGACAGAGGGTTTGAGCGTAGTGGCCTTGTTCAACTACTGATCACACTAGATTATACTCTCTCACCCAGAAACATTAAGATCCACTCAGCATACTTGCAGTATAAATGACAGGTTGGCTTTATATGCAATGAAGAAAAACAAATGTTCAGCAGCAAGTATCTACAGCAGGGATTAGCTAGGAAATGGATAGACTCAAAAACAAGCAGCATTCATAAGAACATTTCATCAATGATAGACGTGTGTTAACAGACATTAACTATTAACCTATAAGAAATGAAAGTTTTAAAAATTAATTTATTTTTAGTACAATATTCCTCGTTTATCCATGGTAGACAGGTTCCTAGACCCCATTAGATGTCTGAAACTGTAGACATCACCAAACTATATATATATATATATATATATATATAAAAAAAATATGTTGTTAGTGGTTCCAACGAGAGAAAAGTATGTATATTAAAAAGAAGAGAAGAGGGGTGCCGCTAACGTTTTTGGTTGTAATGTGGATTTATTTAGAAAAAAATATTATGCTTTGTTTTACATAATTTTACGACACGTGTTTCTGGTCTCATGACCGCCTTCAGGTAAAAGTGGAGATTTCTACATATTATTAAAAATAATTAATTTTTCTTCATGTTCAATGTGAAATATTCTCATATGGTATGACGTTTGCATGATAACGTAACTGTCAGGGTTTCAATTCTTGGTAGTGGATGCATACTGCTGATGAGTCCCAAATATAGGATGAAATGGCCGTCCAGTGCTTTCTCTTAATAATTTCTATCATATATATATATATATATATATATATATATATATATATATATACACACACACACACACACACACACACACACAAATTCATGATAAAGTTTAATTTGTAAATTAGGCAGAATAAGAGATGAAGAAAAATAACTCATAAGAAAATAGAATAATTATAACAATATACAGTAATAAACTTTATGCCGTGGATAGAAGATTAATACTTACCATGATTATAGATCTGAGTGACCTTGGCATACAATTTTTTCTTTCCTTATGAGTATTGTAAACAGTGAGATTGTATGCCAGAGGACTTCTCTTAACACCCAAGAGTTGACCTTGTATTCAGCAGTATAAAAAGGAAAGGACTTACACACTTTCTCACTTTTCCTCTCTTAATTACAAGATTTCTTACCCAAGGCAAACTGACTTCTTAATTTCAACCAAAGCACATAGTCTAACACATATATACACACACTACATCTTATCACATAAGTGTACATTTTCCATCTTTTCTGAATTATGTTGTTCTATGTATAAATATATGTATAAAAAATACTGCGCATGTGTTGAATACATTTATTTTGAAAATTTTCAACTGAATATCTTTACAATTCATAAACCTATTCTGACACAAGTGGTAACCTTGTTGCTAGAAAACTTACTTTTGCATTTAAAGGAAGCACTTCATGATTTTTTTTTTTTTTTTGAATCATTATTAAGCAAGATTTAGGAATTATTTGTTTCTGGACTTGATAAAAAGCAAGTGAAACTGCAAAAAGTAATACCACTGTAGAGAAAAAAAGAAATTATTATATTATTCCTTCCTTAACTATAGCTGGTATGTTACCCCCAACCCCCGAAAAAAATGGATGCCTGAAACTGCAAACACCACCAAACTCCAGATATACTGTTTTTTTCTTATACATACAAAATACATGATAAACTTTCATTTGTAAATTAGGCACAATAACACATTAACAAAAATAACTCATAATAAAATAGAACAATTATAACAATGTCAGTAAATCAGCTAAGTGTCATATGGGATACATGTTTGGGCAATCATGCCTCTTTTGATTCAAGACTGACTAAACAGAAGATTTTCCTGCAGTAGGTTGTTATTTCTTTCTGCAGTAGACTTGTTGCCAACCAAGGATACAAGACCCAGTCTGTCCTGCTATTCAACCTATAGCTGGTGGGAGAAGTAATGGCTCTCCAAGTTCTTATTTCAAGCCATTATCCATTACACTACACTGCACATCCTATAATATATCATAATAAATAATAAAATTTATGTGATGGAGAGAAGATTCAGTCTTACTGTAGATCTTAACAACCTCAGTATACATTTTTTTTCATTGTTAGTTTGTAAGCTTTCACCTTACCATTTAAAGGAAACATTTTATGGCTTCCCTTTGGCATCTAGCAGATCTGTTCCTAGTAGGACTAAAATCAGAGACAAACAAAATTTGCGCATGTAAACGACTGGTTGTCATTTCTTGTTGAGGTGAAAGAAAATGGAACAAATTTCAAAAAGGCAATATTTTCATGTACTTTATAAATGGCTAATAAATGATTAACAAGAAATTAAATATATTTGTATGCATGTAAAAATAGCTAAAAAGAAAGAGGACATTAAAATTTAGCTATTAGGAATGGTATGTCTATGTATACACATGAAAGAGTTGAGTTACCAGAGGGGGGAAGATATCCCCAAATGTGTTCCATGTTGCTGTTGCTACTACCACATGCTGAAAGGAAAGAAGGAAGAAACAGGAAGTGCCCTGTTTTTATATTTGCTACACAACACCATCTAATGGCATCTTGGGAAACTAAGTGGGACAATCCCACAGACATATCTAAATTGCCAGCATTTCTACGGTTATGTTCTGGGATCTTTATTAACTAAAACTTATGAATTGTTTATTAAGGAGGAAGAATTGAATGCCATTACATGAAACTGTACATAATGAAATGAGGGAACTATTAATGCAAATAAAGAATTTTTTTTTACATACAAAACAGAGTCCAAGTAACAAAAGTGCAGTTCTAAAACTTGAAGCATTCAAGTGTTGGTTACAGATCTGCAATGTGAGATATAGTTTGGAGAAATGAAAATATGAAATTTTTTTTTTTTGAATAACAGATTCTCACCTCATCCAAAATAAACCTGTTGAGTTTGTCAGCAAGTCTCTGCCAAAAATGGGTAAAGAGTGGCTTGCTGACAAGACCCTGAACATGTTGGAGATGACTTTTTAAAACCAAAAACATTTCACAAGCTGTTGGGGATAAGCCCTGAACTCCACCTTGGATATCCTGTTGTGATGGTAATGTGATCCATCTGAAAGACAAGAAACAAAAATCTATTAATGCAACAAGAGAAAATATTTACATGCAAGATTAACATACTACCACATTAAGTACACATGCATTTTTTGGTATATCACATGGCACTATAAAGAAGAAAAGCCAGTGCCAAGGAAGTACATTAGCATTAGTTTAATAAATACACTTTTATTAAACAAAATAAAACATTTAGACTTATATTACAATTTCTAACTACAAAAAAACATAGATGGCATTATGTAGAATTTCAAATAAGAGTAAACATGTTAATCATTCCAGTTGCTAGGTACATTCTGTTTTTGTTTTTATTAGTTACTTTGTTCAATTAATTTCATTTTCGTATTTTGCTTTGATAAAGTCCACATTGGACGAAACGCATCAGCAATTACCAGTTTTCCTATTGTCATTTTTATTCATAAACCAAATATGTGTCCATTCTTATGTAGTTATTTTAACAATAAAAAAATCAGTTAATATAGTGTACTGAAAAAATCTAATAAGTAAATCAAGTATATTTATAAAAGCCTCTCTTTCTAGAGAACAATAAAGATAAAGAAACTGGTTCCAATCTGGTAGGAATGATTGCAAAACATTTTCCCATCTCCAATTTATAGACAGAAGTAGACAAATGCATGCTGGGATTTTTTCCTAGCCAATAAAATAGGCTGGTTTTCAGTTTCATCTGACTCAGTCCTGGTCTGTCTTGAAGTCAAAATGTTATGTTCACTTGTCTAAACTTGCTTTTCTGTTAACTAAACTAGTTTGTTCAATTACAGTGCAGTACCATAGGGAAGGTAACACACCTTCAGTACCTAACTCTTACACAAGATGGTTTTTACATTTCCCACCAACTCCAGTGGTTAGTGTTCAAGCCTAGGTCAAGCTATGATTATTAAGTGTTGATTTTCCACGGGAGACAGAATGTCTTTACTTGTGTCCACTGATGCCTGTAAAGGTGAAAGGAAAAAGGGTCAAAAGTATCTGGGGCTGCAATGTTTGAATATCTGTTACCAATTCTTGGTCACTCTTAGCTTGTCTCTTTCTGCCATTATTTCTATTCTTTTCTTTTTCTCCTCTTCTTTCCTTCCAACTCTAAGAGCCACAATGCCAGTGTTTGGTCAGCATTTCAAAAAGAACACCTCACCACTATGGACTTGTATAGATATTTTGGCTATATAGCGAAGAATGGCAAATTACCTCGTCAAATCAAGCAACAGTGTGTTGCATGTATCCTACAATGGAAACTATAGCAAAAAAGAAAGTTACTTGTCAAAAAAAGGGCATGTATTCTGCATGATATGCTGGAGATAGAATATTCAAATTAGAAACAAGTCAGTTGCAGGCGTTGCCATAGAAGTGTTTTGATATGCTAATATTGTGCATCCTCTCCCATTTGTTGACAAATGAAAAAAATAAAAGCAGTTGGTGTTCTCAAATCGTGGAGAAAAAAAAAAGACAATGTATTTAGCTACTGCAGCCGTCGTTAGTGAGCAAGCTAATTTTATGACTGGTTACATGCATTGTGATTTGTGACATAGTACCTGCAAATCAAGATTTCAACATTTTCTTTCTGCCTCTGATCTTCAAGTCTGAACTTGCAGGGATTTGTTCTCTTTGTTGTGGAAGTAATCTGCAACAAATATTTTCCTTTGCAATCCAAGAACTATTACAGGTTACTTTGTACCTGCAATAAAATGGTGTGTCAAAAGGATGGTTTTTCCTTTGACACCACTATTATTTAGTACAAAATGAAAAAAAGTGAATTTATACACTTTTTTGTTATTTGAGAATTTATGACAAAAATATTAAACACTATATTAGATTGTTTATTTACAAGAATAATTTTATATTTACAACATTGTAAAAATGCAAACCAACCAATATTTATCATTTACCAATTTATAAAGAAATAAATATGAAAAAAATTTTCTTATTCATTAAAATTTTCTCAATCATAAAAATATGTGAACCAACTATAATGAAATCTTTATATTTAGCATTTTATAAAGTTCAAATGGATTGGCAATTTGCCAATGTTTTGCCAAACATTCCAAAGAACACAATTCACTGAAAATTTTGTAGGTTTTATAAATTTTTGAATAAAAAGATTTTTCAAATTTATTTCTTTATAAAATGATGAATAATAAACCTTTATACAATGGTAAATAATAAATATCACACAGTGTACACAGTTCACATATTTTTATAATGGTGTAAATAAACATTACCAAGGAAGTTTCGGTAGTTTAAAGTAATAGCAGCATCAAAGGAAAAATCATCCTTTTGATTTTTTTGCAGGCACAAAAGTTAAATGTTGTCCTCTTTCCTTCACTTACTCAGTTTTCTTTGCCAGCAGTTGGTGATATCTCTCTCCCTTTATTAACTCATTCCAACCACACAAGTCTAAAAGATTCATTGAATAGTACTCAGTGTTGTTCATGATGATGGTCGTCTTTGAGTATAGAATCCAGAGGTTAGCAGTGAATATTTCGAAGACAGTAGGGAAGCGTAGTTCAGGTTAGCAGTGGATATCCCGGTAAAGTAGCAGAGCGTAGTTCTTCCTTCTGTTCCTCTTCGCCTGACAAGCCGGCACTGGACATTCGGATAGAGTAAACAAAATGGTCGCCTTTAACACGACGGATTGAATATTCTATGTCTTCTGATTGGTTAACCTTCTATTGGTGGACTATAAAGTGAGTCAAGTCATTTGGGCTAGCTCACTAGTAAACATAATACCCCAAAAACTGCAACACTCAGCTTGTATTCATTAGATTTCACCACATTTTATTATCTGTTCAAATTTTTAAGATGAGAAATAATAATAATGATGATGGTGATTGTTGTTATTTCCTTGTCTGAGAATGATACAGTTGAATGTTTGCAGATGATTGGCAGCCAGATCTCATCATTTCACTGTTGACATTGCTAGTTGTAACCATCTATACTAATTGTTCTTGCTTGTGAAACTCTCCTAGCTGCCTGCTTTCCTGTAACCACAATCTACAAAAATTTAAATATGTCATTCATCATCCTTTGCCTCTTTGAATTCTATTACTATATTGTCCCTCTGTGTTTCTCTTACTCTTAGTGATCCCTTGCATCATAGTGGCTTTATTGCCTTGGCTGGAGTGAAATCATACAAAAAGAAAGGTGAGTAAATTTCAAAGACATTTCTAAGGTTTTCCTAGCAAAAGAGCTGTGATTTTTCATATCAAACTAATATGATAATAGATGAAAGTTATTACTATTTGAACAGGAGTTCAAGTCACACTTATGAATAAGCTGTGTTTAAAATACTTTTCTTGCTCCTTGTTTAGATTTTAAGCTGATTATTGTGAATAATAATACTGGATAATGATCTGTTGACAATAGGGCAGAGCAAAGAAAATGTTAGATATACCACTTTTACATTTTTACATTACATTTGGCAGAGGTGATTTGGTTTAGTTTGGTTTACAGTATATCAATCTCAATGGGTTATTTAATGCCAACAAGATTTTTAAGATAGGTTTGTATGAATAGTATATGTATTCTTTGTAAGAAATCAGTTTGTAGATCAGGTTTCATTGATGTGTTTTTGTTGAGAGTCAAATCTGTTACTGGTAATATTTTTTTTTTTCCAAAGATGTACTGCTGGTAGTATTTTTTTTTTTTTCAAAAATATATTGCTGGTAATAATCCCACCCCGCACCAACCTCAACGATTACACTGTATAATTTTTTTTTTGCATCATGCTTATGTATTAGGGTTTTTACTTGTCCAGTTTATGTTTAATGGGTGAAATGTCCATAATTTCTATGCTCTCTGATCTGTTGGCACTTTGTTTTTTGTCATGTTTTGCTCTTCAGAGATCTTGTTTTTGCTTGTCTGTTTGGTCTTGTTTTATTTGTTTTTCCATGATGACCGTTTCCTTATTTTGTTCATATATGTCCATTTCTTTTGGTTTTTCAGTGATGTACTCGGTTGTTATTTCTTTTATGAATCTTTTCTTTCTCTTGTGAATGTTTGGAGGGTTCTAGTTCTTGAATGATTTCGTACTTTAGATTGGGGTTTTCAGAGTCATTTTATACTAGGTCAGGAGTCACTCAGTCACCAGGACTCTGCTGTCCCTGGGCATCACATGCTGCCACCCATGGCAAACAGAGAGAGATTTGTAGTTTTGGGGAATTGGTTTTCATAAATATGTGCTTTATATATTGCAATTTTGTAGCTATTTTTGTATGAATGGGTAATTTAGGCATAGTATTTTGTGTAAAAAGATATTTTGTAGATTATAATTTTTGTTGGTAGCGTAAAGGTGTCTACCCCCACCCCAAATGTATGGAAAAAAAAATTTTTTTCCTGAAGATACCATCCTAGGTATAGGCATATTGTATAAGCTGATGGCATGTAGGTGAAGTTTTCTTCATACAAATAATTAGTTTCTATTCTATCTGGATTCTTACTACACCTAGTAGTAGTTTAATGTTCTACCCAGAACATAGTTGAACTTGTTTTGTGAAAAAAAACCATGATTGCTCCATGCTCAGAATGAGGCTGCAGTTTAATGTCAAGCCCAGGAACCTGGAATCAGAGGTGACAACAATTTCTGGATCAAAACTTTAATACAAACTTGAGAGATAAAACAATGAAAAGTAAAGAATGAAATTGTATTTAATAGATATAAATACTTCTAAAGTAAAGATGGCAAACCACTGACCCATAGGTCATGAACTAACCCGCCATCAACTTTTTAGTGACCCACAAGGAGTTAGTGAAATAATGTCATGAAATATGGTTTGCTATGAAATATATAAAAATCAACCCCCAGGAATTCTCTTGGTATGGGCATGAGTGCTGCATGCATTTAAGCTGAAGACAACAAAGTATGAAACTGGAATTAAAAAAATTAGTAACTAAGATGCAGCAATAAGATTCTCATAAAAAAATATCGGTAAGTATATGAGTGACCCATTTATGTTTATGAAAAATTTGAAATTATGAAAAATAACCTGGCAACTATAAAGGTTTGCTGTCTCTGTTCTAAAGCATTATCTAATTGAGTTTTATTAATCCATTTAAAATTCTTAAGATTTAGAATAGAAAATATATGATGAAAAGCAAAGGAATAAAAAGATTGAAACTGTTTTTAACAGTTACAAATTAATCCACCTCAAAACAGGATCCATTTAATTAATGGGATAAGGATGGATAAAAAAAATTATGAAGTAAGTTTTTCATGAATAAATTCAATAACCAAATTAAACAGTGACATTCACTGGTCATAAGACAAAAAGCAAAGATGAGGATACTAACCTCCAGGAGAGTGACTCATCACACCTTCTCAGGCTAACATTCCCTGCTTACATTATGTGGTAAGTTTATATGGAATCAATTGCTAAGTGTGCTACTAAGAAAGTTGGTCCACTGCATTGTGCTAGACAATTTTTTTCATTAGAATCTATCATATATTTATGAATCTACTATTCTTCCTTGCTTTGCATATTGTTGCCACATCGGATCTGGTTCTCCTATTATATATTTAAAGATTATTGATAAAATCCAAAAAGTCTATTGGTCCTGATCTGGTGTTTCAGTCACTTTCCTACCACCATAATGTAGCTTCTCTGTGCCTTTTCTATAAATACTTTTATGGTAATTATTTTGATGAACCTTCCCCTATGGTACATAGACTTTATTAAATTTAAGTTCAGTATTAGATTGGCAGCAAATCTTCATCAATTTACAAGTGAATTGGCCAGATGAACCAATAAGTTCTATACTACCAATTTTTTCTCTCACACTTATTGCTTGAGGAACTCTCTTCCAGTTCTATGTTTTCCAGCAAAAATTGATCTTCAATGTAAAATATTTTTTTTTTTTTGAAATGTAAAAAAAAAAAAATATTTTCTATTTACACAAAGAAAATAATTTTTATATTAGATTTTTCTCATATTGTTCTTTTTAATGATATAAATTTACTGAAAATTGATTAAATTATTAGATGTGATTGAATAGCTTTTTTGTCAATGAGTATCAATATTTCAACAAGTCTAATGTCATTCTTACAAAGTGGCTGTACAGCAAACCAGAATAAAACCTGCTAGTTTCAAGATTTGCAGTTTTTCTAGTAATTCTGAAAACCAGATAAATGGTTTGATACTTGTACTTTAATTTAAAAATGTTATAAACCATCCAAAAAAGAATTTTCATTGCTTCCCAATTCAATTTTAAAAACTGAAATTTTGTGTCTATATTAAAAATAGATAATACAATTGTTTACCGGTCTTTTCGATAGGGCTGACTTCTGGCTTTCACATCAGTGAATACATAATTAATGATTGTCTTCAGCATATCATTCTTGAGACGGTCAAATAAATCAATCATACAATCAAATACTGTTTCTTCCAAAGACAGTAATAACCGCGATTCCATCATTGCATCCAAAACCTTCAAAAGAAAAAATTATATAATTGCTGATTTAAATAAATTGGCAATGAATAAAAAAAAAAAAAAAAAAAAAAAAATCACACTAAATATCTGGTTAGAGCAGTGATTTTCAACTGCCATGCTGTTGCATACTAGCGTGCTATGAAATGCTGTAATTTCTAGTGATCGAGGACTCAAAATAAAATATTCAATGGTACCCATTGATACAATTTGGATTTCAATACAAAATATCACACATTAGCTAAAAAGGCTTTATTAGTTTTATTGCAATTTTCTTATTTATGTGAATTAGGCTTATCAACCTTAAATAATATCAAAAATAAGAAGCAAAAAAGACTACACTCAACTGAAGAAGGAATGAGGTTCTGCTTGTCACACATTCAACCAAACATTGAAGAAATTATGAAAAAACACCAGGCACAGGTTTCACACTAAATAAGCTGCACAAATAGTTGAATAGAAACATTGAAATAAAGTTTATATCTGTGTGTATTTTTTTATATCTATGGTTTTATTTCATAACATTTAAACATATACGCTTTAAAAATTTGTGGTGCGATATTTTCCTTTGCTCTTATGTGTGCCATTGCTTAAAAAGTTTGAGAAACACTGGGTTAAAGAATCAGGCATATGGTTAAATTGTTAAAATAATGCAATTTGTTGCTTTTATTTCTATTCATGTGAATTTATTGCTGGAGATATATTTCTTCATTTTCTTTGCAGTAAAATATTCATACAAATATAAAGGCATAATCAAAAAATCCACAAACTGGTTGAATTTAATATATTTGGGTAAACTTAGAACTGAGTCACTGTTGAGTGATATGCATATAATCCCTTCCATAGTCTATCCTTGGACCTACTTTGTTCTCAATTTTCATTAACAACCTTCCCGATGGCATCAGCTCTCAACTTGGTATCTATGCTGATGATACAACCATTTACTCCTGTTTTGATAGTAAGTCTGATCAGTTTGATAAGGTCAAAATGGCTGCTGTTAACTGGAGAAAAGAATGGCTCTTTTAATTTTCCTCTAAAACAAAACTTCTCTCTATTAATCATCTGAGAGATCCCTTTCTGTATTCCATCAGCATGGCTAATGCTAACCTCCAGGGGAGTGACTCATGCCATCTTGGGCTAACATTCTTGACTGACCTGAGGTGAAAAGTCTATATTGAATCCTTTGCTAGGTCTGATGCTAAGAAAGTCAATTGCCAAAAATGGTCCAGTGCTCCTGCTATATATTTAGTGATTCTTGATAAAATGCAAAGAACAATCAGCAATACTATTTGTCTTGACCTGGTATCTTAGCTTCAGTCACTTTCCCACCACTGTAAAGTTGCTTTCTTGTGCCTTTTCTATAAATACTTTCATGGTAATTGTTTGGAAGAGCTCACTGCTATGGTACTTAGATTTATTAATTTAAACACAGTACTAGATTGGCAACAAGGTCTCATCAATTTAAGGTTGAATTGGCTAAATGTAACTGTAAGTTCTATGCTAACAGTTTCTTTTCTCACATATCTGTCTATATTTCTGAGATGAGGTATTATGTACACTATTTACATTGTTTGGACTATCATTCTCATCTTTGTTGCTATGTTTATCACAACGTTTCGGCCGTTGTACACCGAACAGAACCCTTTATTTCATGCAACTAGAACAGTCTACCCCAGCGAGTGAAATAAAGAGATCCGTTCAACATTCCAACCACCTGAAGAAGACCAGAGCATACAACGGCCAAAATGTTGTGATAAATATGGCAACAAAGATGAGGTTGATAGTTTGAACAATGTAAATAGTGTTCTTTTCTCACACTTCTCACTTGTGGAAATCTTTTCCAGCTCCATGACTTCCAGCCAACTTTGATCTTCAAAAATTTAAATGCAATGTTAATTGTTATCTACTGTCTTCCTGATCATTCTTCTAATGTTTTTGCTCATTAATAATGTTTGTTTTTTTTTTTTAATTCTTTCACACCCAGTAACTCCTTGTGTCTTAGTGGCTTTACTGCCTTGCTTGGAGTGAATTTGATTAAAAAAAAATATATATATATATATATATATATATATATATATATATATATACACACACACACACACACATTTTCTAGATTAATATATTTTTTTTTAAATTCATTCTGGGATACACTTTTTAAAAAAAAGTGTGAGTTCTTAAAGTTTGGTTTTATATACACGCTCACTATACTGCTTGAAAGTTACATACCTGGTTAATGTCAATAACTGAGCCATCCATAGCAACACTATAATCTGTGAGAGACTGGACACTGGAGGCCATTGTTGGAGGGTCATCTAATCTTTGATTCATTTCATCTTCTCGGTCATACTCACTCTTGAAAAATTGTAACTGGAGGAAAAACTATCAAAGGAAATAAAAGAATGTTTCAGGTAAATTAAAGTTAGAAAACATCATTTGTTAAATTTCTGAAGAGATCATTTTATAAGACAAAATAATTGCAAGATACAAATTAGTGAAATATTTTGATAGTTGAAACATTGAATTATTACATCATTATTGCTGTATTTACGTTGAGATCAAATCTTCAAATCATACCAACATTTTAAACATTATAAATCTATTGATTTAATATTGTCTAAAATTCTGAGAAGAGTCATTATCATGATGTTCAAATAAGATGTCTGTCTACACAAGTATCCTCATTCTGACTGTTTTGATCATGAAATTTTAGATAATTCTAAGAATTACTCCAACTAGTATACTGGCTGTGTGTATAATCTTGATAAAGAGCAGGTGATCTTTTCAGTTTTTCTTTTTCTTAATAACACAAACCAGAAAATTACAAAAGGCTTAATTTCAGACAATATATGCAGTGGCTTTTCTTGAAATAATTTCTAAATTTAAACATCAAAGATTCCAGCATAAAGCAATAATTCACAAATAAAGCATAAAATGCATTTCATCTGCTCATTTTTGAGTTCCAGACAAACACTGATGGTACCATATTTTCAATTTGCAAAATTACTTATTTAATTGAATTTGTTCTATTGAGTAGAAGTATCTGCTGACTAGTGAATTCTTTAAATTCAATTAGGGTGTCCAAAAATATTTAATTTTTACAAGTTCTGATAATTATAAACTCATCCGATAGAACATAATGAAATATTACACTAAAACCTCTGAGAAATTCAACTACTTACAAACATCCATAGAGAAGAACAAATCTCCAATACAGGGGTGTTCAAACCTTTTCAAAGAGGGCCAGATTTTACAAGGTGAATATGTGTGAGGACCAACCATTCTGCTTGGCATTCTTTGAATCATTAAAATTAAATGCAAATGAACTATCTTGTGAAAATTTTATTGCAAATGGCATATGTTCATTTCTTCACATGGATGACAAATTAATTTAAACAGGTCTTACCAAAATCATCCAGCCTGCCATATCTGAAAGCCCATATAAGATAAAGTAAAATATGTCTGAACAAAAAGAACTTCTAGGAAGCTATATCTCAGGTTAATCTTAAACATTACATATTGGTAATTAATGTTGTCTGTCAACTTTCAAGTTAAAAGCATATGAATAGGAACATAAAACCAACATTCATTTTATTAAGAAGTAAAAAACAAAGTGACACAAGTCCAAATATATTTATAACTGATTTTGATGAACACAAAACAAATTTAATTTACTATTTTAGAATTTATTCATCTCAGATGATCAAAACAAATAATTTGCCTGCACTAATGTGAAGGGTGATACTGAGATCTGGTCTGCAGTGTGTAGGTCAGATCTGGTTCAAAGGCAGTGATTTTAGAAATTGGCTGGAAAGACCAAGGTTAGGGTCACACTGCCAGAGGGCAGCCACACAGTGCTGCTGCCATCTTTTAGTAAAACATGAAATTGTGTTTCTTAGGTGTGTACCTTACATATTTTGATTGACAATATTATGACAGGGGATGGGGGATATATGAAATTTGACTGCAGCCTGTAATTGGCCATCTGGGTCAGACTTTAGACATGCCTGCTCTAAGATAATCATCAGCTCTTGCTCATCCACTACGGGACAAAGGTTTATCTCAGATCCTTTCATGACAATTGTGACTGTGCCAGTCTCTGTCATATGCTATCAACAAACACTCAATCTCATAACTCTATCATTGACCTGGTTGTTTTTTTTTTCTCCATTTGCTATTCATTGGGAATCAATTAAGAAACCTTTTAATTCATCTGTTATCCTTTGATTTTGTTATGTGATCTGCCAACCCTCAGTTTTTTCTTTTTGTTCTTTAATTACTTGTATGATGCTTTATCTTGGTCCATATTGATTATTACTTGTACAATATCTTGATTCCTCATCCATATTGATTTCTTTCTCTCAAGAGTTATCCTTATCCTTTCAATTGATCTTTGTGTATTTCTGAGTTTGTTTTCAAAAGATTTGCTTCCTTTCCAGGCTTTGTGCATGTGTGTCATAGCTAACATTATACATTCAGTATTTAATTATATTTTAAGCATATTGGCAAGTTATTTTTCATTGTCTTTTTTTATATTAAATATTTTCCATCTGATTGTTACACATCATTTTATTTCTTTCTCGTTTATTTTTTTAAGTGCTTTCCAGTCCTATATTCCTGGACTTTTTTCAGTATATTTCTCTTCTGTTATAAACTTTTACAGAAAATTAAAATTGAACATTATTTTTGATTTATTTCTGTTTAAGCCTAGATTGAGATTTCCTCCATTTAGGTCACTTAGTAATTCTTTTTTAATTCCCTTGATGATTCTGGTATTAATAAAATTTCATCTGAAAATTGTAGATGGTTTAAATATTCTGTATTTATGTTTATTTTTATCCCTTTTCAGTTACTTTTCTAGACTGTATGTAAGTGTGGTGACATCACTCCATCTGCCAAGAGAAACAGGAATGAAAACTTCAATACAGCAACTTTGATAAGGCACCTGAAAATATCTGTTCTCAATGAGAAGGACATCTTGTTTATGCATATTTACTTAGCGGAAATGGAATCAGTCTATTTATCAGCATTGGATTGCTCTGTCAGAATAACAACAAAGACGAGGACAATAGTCTGAATGTAAATAGTGTAAATAGCTGATTGTTCTGTTTCTCAGTAGAAGTTGTGACCAGATTATTTATCAACATTGGATTTTACAAACAATTCAACAGCACTGAACTTCTGTCTTTGTCCTGTGGGACTTTTGTTAGTAAAGTTTTTTTGGTTACTGTAAATAGTTTAGGTGAAATTGTGTCCCTTTACCTCATTCTTTTACCAACCTTTATTTTATTTTCATCTGTGCCTTCATGTAAACAAATTTTTGTAATACTATTATCATTATATATATATATATATATATATATATATATATATATTCTCAATAACTTATGAAATTTCCATTAATACCCTGTTCTCGTTATGAGTTAAAAACGACTACTGGCTCAACTAATTCAAATGCCCCTCAACAAATGCTATAATGTTGTTTATTGTATTCTGTTTTCTTTTTCAATCTATTGGTCTTTGTCTTATGTTTTTATAATTAGAAATTAGTTTAGAATTTCAATTTCTTGCTTGCTAAGCAGTAGCAATGTAAATTATTCAAACTCATCGGCCAAGCTTCAAATGGGGTAAATGAATGATAACGTTCAAGAATATGAGACAAACAAATCAACAAGTTTTATTGGAGGAAGAAGATGCCAATGAAGAAGTGTAAAGATATTTAGAAATTGTTTTTATATCAACCAAAAGTATTGAAATAAGTGTGTGAAGAAATATATTTTGTTTGAATTTTCCTAAAGCAACATTGATACCAGAAAATACAGTGTCAGAAATAATGTATGTACAGTAATACTTTTATTGTCACTAGTTTTCCAATTGAATAATTTTTAATTTAATGACTGAATGAACCACTTATGAGTTCTGTGACTGTAAAATATTCACAGAAATTTCCCTTATTATATCATTATTTGAGCTTAACAATTTTAACAAAATATTGTAATAACAATCATAAGTATGAATGCATGTCATTATTTAAAGAAGTAAGAGGGTACAAATGAAAAGATAAAAAAATTGACAAGGTCTTTCATTTCACTGAAGCAGATGTTAAATCTATGAGTGCCTTATTGCTTGCTCTATGTTCCCTTTCTTTATTATTATGGATGCATTCTTTTGCTCACCAAAACCAAACAGCATCTGATATATAGTCTTTCTTTGCCATCAAAACTGAATGGTCCATTATTTATCTGAAGTAATCCTAACTTACTAATGGAGGAACAATCAGAATTATAAAGATATGTATTTCTAAACGAACCCCAGGAACCTTTCATAGGTAGGGAAGCTCCAGTATTATGAATGCATCATTGACATTCTTTATTTTCAGGAATAGTTTCAGTATGTCGTTAAATTGTGGAAAATGTCTATTATTGTAATAATAGTTAACATTTGAGAAACAAATATCTTTGTCATTTTCCAGGTCTTGACAGATGAACTTACCACCAACTCACTCCACTCTCGCAGTATCTCTACAATATAATAGGCAGTGTTGAGTATGGAACAATAGTGTTGTCCAAGCACGTTCTGGGCTTCTTGCTTCATCACTTGCACTAAACGTGTTCGAAAATCTTCCAAAAGTTCTTGTTGAAGAGCAAGGAAGCGCAGCTTATGCTGTGGCTGTGGTAAGTGCTTGTAACGATCTACAAAAACAAGTAAAGGAAATCTACTACTACTAATAATAATAATTATGTGTGCATGTTTGTGTGCAAAAGTTTCCAAATCTTCTTTTTGAAACTTAGAGACAGAATACACTCTTAAAAAGAAGTTTTTACTGGAAACTTTTGTACAAAATTAATAACAGTAATTAAAAAAAACAACAAAAAATGAACAGAAGTTACTTAAAGAGTTACTCTGGAAGTCATCAGGTTTGTTCACATCTTAATTTCTGATGATGGATAGGTGAAACTCAACACAAAACTGAACCACAGTTCAATAATTATATGTTCATAAACATAACTATATAGTGTAAAATGGTTGCTTTGAATTTAGAGCATTAATCTAAATACTGGTTCAGTTTATAATTCTAATAATATAACACTTTTTTTTTCATTTTTTAAACAAATCTCATAATACAGAAGAGAATCATCTGTTTAAAGAAAGTGGAATACTTTAACAAGCAATGACAGTCAACCTGATCATAGAAGATTCTCATTAACCATATGGTTAATTGGAAATAGCATCAAGCGATCAAAGTTTAAAAAAAAAATAAGTTCTTTCAAATTAGTATTAATTTGAGTCTCATTTTGAAAAGGCAAAAATCATGAATTTAACTCTCCTAAAACCCAATTCAAATTAACCCATTATTACATTACACATGCATCGATATTTAAACTATTTGTTATGTAACTAATTATATCACAGGAAAGATTTAGTAAAGCAATGTATAAAAAAAATTCTGGCAGAAAACAAAAACAAAACAATAATGATTTATTGTTTTTTTAATCAAATTCATCCTAAGCAAGTTGGTAAGGCCACTAAGACACAAAGGATTACTGGGTGAGAAAGAATTAGATAACAAAAAAAATTATTGTTATACCATACCTATGGACGATAATGGGTATGTCCCAATTCCTATAAATACATTGGTATATACTGTATATGATGGTTCACTTCTACTTCACCATTAGCAGTTGATTACTTACCACACACCATTGGCAAATCTTGTATATTGTTCCTGTTATAAATATTATCGTTCCATTTCAAACCTTCGTTTTGGTTATTCTTATTCAGTAACCTTTTCCTAGGTTACAACAATAATAAAAGAATGATCAAGAAGACAGTAGAAAATGATTGACATTGTATTTAAATTTTTGAAAATCAAAGTTGTTTGGAAAGTAGATGTTTTGTTTGTTTTATGGTATATCAACCCATTGAGTCATTTAATGCTAAAGCTTAATGTTTTTTCCTAAATGAAGCCTTTTAATATAAATGGGTATTGTTGGTAATTTTACTATAAATAGGTATTTTTATACTTTCCTAGTATTTTTATTTCTGCTTGGGGGTTCACTATTTGCTCATAGCTACCACCCTGGGTCAGGGTGGAGCTTGGAGCAACAACAGATAATTGCGTTTCCATGCTCCTCAAATTCTCCAATCTCCCAATTAGAGTGTTGGCTGGGAAGCATGTAGTGTTCCACATGTAAGAAGTGTGAGAAAAGAAACTGTTAGCATAGAACTTAAAGTTACATCTAGCCAATTCAACTTTAAATTGATGAGACCTTGTTGCCAATCTAGTACTGTGTTTAAATTCATAAAGTGTAGGTACCATAATGAAGAGCTTATCTGAACAATTAATTATCATGAAAGTATTTAAAGAAAAGGCACAGCGAAGCAATTTTACAGCAGTGGAAAAGTGACTGAAGCCAAGATACCAGGTCAAGACAAATAGTATTGCTGCTTCTTTGCATTTTATGAAGAATTTCAAAATATATAGTAGGAGCACCAGATCATATGTGGCAGCAATATTTGAAGCATAAATGAATGACAGACATAGATATGTAAAATATATTCTGGAGAGAAAGATTATCTAGCATGACACAGTGAACTAACTTTCTTAGCAGTAGACATAGCACTCTTTCCACTTCAGGTTAGCTGAGAATGTCACTCTCCTGGAGGTTAGCATCAGCCATGCTGATGGAAGGCAGAAAGGGGTCTCTCAGATGATTAATGGAGAGAAGTTTATATATAAGCCAGAATGAAAAAAAAAAAAGGAAAAAAAAACAGACATTGTTATCAGCAGTATCTTACCTGTAATTGTAAGCATCAGAGTCATGAAACTTTCTCCACATTCTGGGACTTTGAGCTCATCAACATCAGCAATATCACGATACTGTGATCGCCAAGCAGTTGTTGAAGACATCATTGCATCCACTTTTTCCATTGCATCTAAAACATAATTTTTATGAAGTCACAATGAAGTCAAAACCAAAACTACAAGTCAAAGATTATAAACTTAAAAACTAGAAAATAACACACAATAGCAGCATGACAAGATGATAATAGTAAAATAGAACATTTCATAATTGGAGATGGTCATTATATTAGTTTATAATTAGTGAATATTTGTAGATATAGAATATTTGTTTTTGTACAAAACACATATTATATATTATATAGTATAGGATTGGTGTAGACAGAATAAAATTCCAATAACCAAAAACACTATTCTTAAAAGAGTGTTCAATACAGAGTAGAGCAAATATTGTTTATTCAAAAATTATAACATAAACATGTTATAACATCACTACAAAAATAGTCATTTTGTTTCAACACTTCTGGTGTCTTCTCAAGTGATGGTGTTGAATGTAGAAATATATATATATTAGTGATAGGATGATACCAATATTTTTACCAATTCTGCTACAGTTGCCAATAACTACAATGGTTAAAATTTGTTATTTTCAGGCCCTACAGTTGGTTTGGAAAACTTAATGAACAAAATACATTTATTAATAAAACATTTAGTAGAAAAATGAATATAAAAGTTTATGAAATTTAGATATTTAAATAATTGGGTAAGAGTTTAAACAATAAAGAGAACAATTTCTTTATGTAAATCACTTAAGAACCTAGCAACAGTTGATATATTGCTTTACTTTGGTTATCATCAGAAATCTTAAAAACATCCAAACTACATTTTTCTGCTTGTCATTGGATACACTTGTCATAATTGGGGTCTGAAAATAATAAACATTGGTTTAAAAAAATGTTTCTAGATTGTAAAGATTCAACTAATAATGATTTGCTATTAATTATAAAATAAAAAGGGACTTTTTTTGTACACCTTTTAATTTTTAACAAGTAAAATGTGCCCTCTAAATATTATACAATCTCTTTAAAATTTTATATGTGGTTTCAATGAATGAAAAAATTTAGAGATGACAATTCAATTTCAATTGTAAAATAAAAAGAGTCTATTTTTTATATATATATATTTTTTTTTTATTTTTTTATCTTCAAAATCATCACTTGATAAGACAATTTAGTGTGTTAAACAAAATGGCTATTTTTTGTAGTGATTTTTAATATATATTATGTTATTTTTTTTTTGAATAATAATTAATTTGCTCACTTTGTATTGAGCACTCTTTTAAGAATAGTAATTGTTGGTTATTGGAATTCATTCCATATATACCAATTATACTTGGATATTATATATATATATATATATATATATATATATATATATATATATATATAATAGAATATAGCAACAATAATACTCTAAGCAGAAAGGCATCATCCTATGTATTGTGGTTTAACTCATGCATATATTTTGATAAAGTACAAAGAGTACCTAATCCTGCAGGACAGTGAATAAAAAATAAATGCAAATTTTAAATTTGCTTACAGACGTTTAATAAGAATTAAATATGAATTATCACAGCAACTTAATAAATAAATAATAAAGGGTCTTCAATCTTATCTAAAAAATTTAATCACTAATAAGTTTTACTGTCTAAAATAAATTTCTCAAACTAAAAAATTTAATAATTTCTAAAAAGAATCAAAAATTGTTTTATTTTTGTTCAAAGAAAAAAAAAAAAAAAACAACAATTAAAAATATATATTTTATTTTTTTTTTTTTTAAAGAGATCTAAGCAGTTTTAGCAAACTTTACAAATTTTAAAAAATATTAGGAAGTTGAAAGCTAAATAATACTGATATGCAACATGATCATTTTATAAGGTATGAGAATCAATTGTTACAAAGCATTAAAATAAAAATAAGATTAAAAATTATTAAAATGTTTGTAAGGATGAGAACAACTGTAAATGTGTATTTTTTTGCATGGGATCGACTTTTTTCAGTTATTTATGAGATTATTAAAAGATGAAATTTGACTAGTTTTATTTTAAAAATATTGAAACAAATCATGTTAAAAGTGGATAAACTATAGCTTAATCACACTGGATAAAAATACTTGTTTTTAACATTTTTTATACACTTCTACTCATAAAACTTACATTTTGTTTGGCTCCAAAGGAAAAATAAATGAGAAAAAAGTTCAGAATATTTTAAATGCCAAAATAATTTAACACAGGAAAGTTCAATTATGCAAAAAAAAAAAAAAATTAGTAAAATAAAATTAAATACAATTTTTGATGGAAATTAAATTTTAGGTTTTTAATACAATCTTTTGTATGATAAAGCTTTTTTTCAGGAAACTTCAAATAATAGTTTGTTTATTTTTTTTTAAGTAAATAAAGATGAAAATCTGTTTCATAAGCTATAAAATTTTAAGAACTACATGAATTTTGAAGAAACAAATTTAAATTTCATAAAAATAATTTTTACTTTTTTTAAGTCGTGGTTATTGAAAAGAAGATTTATTTTTGTTTATGTAGTATGCTATGTAAACAAAAATAAATATTTTTAAAAAACAGACTCGAAAATTATTTTTTGGATTAAAAATATTATCAAAACAAATTGTTGTAATTTAACTGCCACCACTTGTGACACAAAGTCAATTTTTTATGTTAAGAAAATGTGACATTGGTGGGAATTCCATACATTCATATTTTTTTCTTTTTTATAAATAAAAAAGAAAAAAAATAATAAAAATTCTCTTAAAAGAGAGCCCAGCAGAACAACAATGTGAATTCATTTTGTGTTTATATTAAATAATTTTGATTATAATTATTAAATTAATAATTTATAATATTAAATGGTTAAATTAACAATGTTTAAAAAAAAAAAAAAAAAAAAATTTATTTTGAACTGAAACAGACTTTAAAACAAAACTTTATGGAAAGTTCTAGAAAAGTAGAAAAATTGACAATTTTTTACTTAAAATTTTATTTTATTTATTTTTTATTTTTTATTTTCACAAAAAAATAAATTTACATCATATTTAACTTAGGTGTTATTATAATCTATAGATTTTAGTTTTACTGATAGTTTAAAATCAATAAATATTTATATCTTTTTTATCATTAGTACCAGGAATGACCATATATATGTGTGTGTGTGTGTATATATATATATATAAGATAGTCAATTTTTTTGTACACCATCTATCCATATATAAAGGGCAATTGTGTGTGTGTGTCTGTCCTGTTAAAAAAAATTGTTAAAACACAGCAGAATAAATTCTCATAGATATTTGGGGGCAGGGGATTTTCAGTTGCTTTAAATACAATCAGATATTCCACAAACATATAAAAGTAATCTTTTTCAATATTTTTAATTGAGAAATTTTTAGTTACCTACTTTTAATAACAGTTTTACTTTAAATACATGCATTTTGTTTTATGTTTATGTTGTAGGGATGGTAGGTAAATATTTCATTTATGGTGTTTACATGTAATTTTATTTTTACAATATGCTGATAATACATTCTGAGTGGTGCTTGAGCAGAGGGAAATATTAAAATCATATAATTTATAATACTGGTGTTAATTTGATACACATTATATTTATTTTATTAAATAGTGGAATGTCAATCTAATAATTATTTCCTGATTTAAAAAATATTAAGATTTGTACATTACTCAATAAATAAATAAAGGTTTTACATTCATGCAATACAAAAAACTTTATTTTGAAATATTTCTTTGTTTTTGCATTCATTTTTAAAATTTAAATATCTAAACTTTTAAAAAATATCAATTTCAATAAAATGGTAGAAGAAATGTAGCAAACTGATCCCACTTAAACAATTCAACAGGAAAGGTTTTTTAAAAAATTAAAATCTAATATAAATATTTTCCAAAGCATAAATATCTTTTGAATTAATTGAAATGATTTAGTAAAATTTTTATTAGTGAAAATTAATTCAATAAAAACTGATTGAATATTGCTTTTTCAGAATGAGATTTTAAGGTGGCATGCCAGGTAGTTGTATGGAATTAAGTAATGAGGAGGTTCTAAAAATTTTTGCTTTGATTACCATAAACTTTTTTTAAGAATATTCCATGTTGAAATCAAGGTGAGTATGTATCTTATGTGTGATCAAATATGCTTTATTTCTGATGATGAACTTTATTATAAATTACAAATGTTTAGTATTTTGCTTTCTAAAATAATCAACAGAAATATCCTTACATTTTTTTTCCACAACCAGCCATTTGTCGAAGACCTCCTCTTGAGACAGTATGTGCAATGCTCCTGGTTGGTTTGGAGGGTAACTATAATTCTGCCGCAATTCTCGATCAAACAGCAGAGCTTCATCAATCAAATGTGTGAACAAGTGTTCATCGTACATTATCTCAGGGAGATCAGCGGTCATCTTCTCCAGGACCAATTCAACCAAGCCTCGCATTAACTCCACCTGAATCAAAAAGAAAGACAAATATTTCAAAAATAAATGATAAAAATTAAAATCTGACAATTTAGAGCCTAGTTCCAAAAGTTGTCATCTATACTCTTCTTGTCTCAGTTGTTAGCATATTTAACTGCCTTTTTCTTTTAACTAAAAACCACTATTGTAAAACTCACTTTATCATTTAAATATCAAAGAAAAATATCAAATAAACCATTTGAATTTATGAGAAGAATTTTTTTTAATTTATATAAAATTGTATGCAAACAAAAAAATGTGATGCTCCATTTTTGTCTAAGTGCATTAACTCATAATTTTTGTATTTAAAACAATAGAATAAAAAAATAAATTCTTTGACAATTTTTATAAAGAATTTCTAAGTTTTACCTACCCTGGCATCTAATACAACTCTTCCATTTGTTTCTTCTTCCAACAAAGGTTGGATACTTTTCTCTAAAAAGTCACAATGATCTCGTATCCATGTTAATACTTGGGTAAAGTACCATTCAGGCTGACGTGAGAAGAAAACAAAAATAACCAAAGAGTAAAATGAAAGATTAATCATGGTAAGATAAAAGTATCATAGATAAATAAAAATATATAGATGTTAATATTACAAGTAAATATAAAAAGTAAAAAGAGAAAGAAAAATAATTCTAACAGAAACTGTTTCAAAAGGAAAGTCACTGATTATTTTTATTTTTTAATAATTTTAAATTTGCTTCTTTTTAGAAACTCATTATTTAAGCAGCATTAGATATATAGTACCATATTTTCATTCATACAGTGTGTAAAATCATGACAATTACATACAATATACCAAGTGTATAAGTGTTTGTAATATGTGATTTTTGGGTGCTGAATATAGAAATCTGTCAGTATACTTTATGGTTACATTTTATAATCTGGATGTGTGCAGGACATGATGATAACAGTAGATTTCCAAAATAAGATGCCAAGAAAGCCTGTCTTTTGCCTTGAAACATATGCTTGTTTGATCACAGATGTTGATGTGCACTAAAAGTCTTATTTTAGATGAATGCTGGCCTCTCTGAAATATCAAATATTAATAAGAAGAGGGGAATCAAGCAAGATGATCTGGTTGGGGATCTCAGGCTGTCAAAAAAGAATATTGTTCCCTATGAATGTTAGTGACCAGTCTAAAATGCCTCAATAATGACAAGGCACCCCTTAACTGAAAAGACTTTCTTAACACATCTGATTGATTCACCAGAATGCACTGTTATGGAGAACTCTGTTAAGTATGTATACTTTCACTGCACAGTTGGCAGTTCCTCACGTTGTGAGGAAAGTAGAGCCAAAGAAAGTAGTTAAACCTCTGTTTGAGAAAAGACTAGAAAACTTTGGAAGGCCAAAATATCCAGCCCAAATAGGATCTTATCCTCATCACCAAAAATGTGTTATATCCTAGGTTGTTGGGATGAACAAAAATGAATGAATTTATTTTAACACATAAATAAACAACCTTTATTCATTCACTGTCTGAGAACAGCAAGGATTGTATGGATTGAAACAATGAATTCCATCTGCGTGTCAGCTTGTCACCATGTTTCCTTCAGAAGTGGCACGCTCAGCTTCACATACAAGGGAAGTAACTCAATTGTATTTTGACTTATTCTTTATAGGGGAAGGAAATTAGCTTCCCCTAACAGACTTTGAACTATATTTTTGTATTTTACAAAAGTAATGATATATTAGAATAGTTGTTGAAACAGGATTACATCTAACAGTAAGGGTTGAAAATATGTTACCATTTCAAACGGCATGAGTAAACTCATTTAATAAAACTTTGTATAACCCATGCTGTATGGAATAGAAATAAAGAGTAAGACTTCAGCAAGAACTCAACTTGCATCCCCTATCCTCGGGAGCCAGCTTTTTGGAGGTTTATCCTTACTTTTTGCTCTCTGAATAATCATAGAATAATAATATGGGAGTTGCACTTAATGACATAAATGTTCTCTGATACAATTTATCATAATTCTGAGTCTTCTAAAATTTTATTTAATGTGTTAGACTTTAATTTTTCTTTTCTTTTCTTAAAAAAGAAAAAGAAAGAGAGAAAAGAAAATGATGCATATACATACACACTGTTAAAAGATATCAAACTTTCAAGATAAAATTCCAGCTTATTATATTTTCAGCAAATTTATACAATGAATAGGACAATAATTACTATATTTTTGGTGGGGAGTGGGATTTTGGTTATGAATAAAAATGTATGTAAAACAAGCAGTTCTGGCTTTGAGCAAGTTAAAATGATAAGTATAAATAGAATTTCACCTTTTCTAGACTATTTGTCTGTCTGTTTCCATAGAAATGGTACTTGAACCGTTTCTTCAAGGGTTTCAGCATCAGCTGAAGTGGCAACACCTGAGGTGCAATATGAAGACGACCCAAAGTGGGATTCCCTAAAACACGTGTTCGTTGCAAAGAGGATCTCAGTAGTTAAGGTAAAAAGAATTTCTTTTTTTCCTTCTATTAACTATTTAAAAACAGAACTATTCATAAGTTCACAATGTAAAGATTTCAAGGATTTGATTGGATGCAAGTTATAGTTTCATATTTTTTTTTTTTATTTAAGAAATATTAAATGTACTCTCTTAGAAGGCTGGTTCAAAGCAGCAGCAACATGTGTATCCAAGTGATCTCTTTGGCAATTTATCATATTTATTGTCATATAATCCACTCTTTCTCTTCTCTTCACAAGTTTATATGATAAAGATCATGGTTTGATGCAGATCTATAGAGTTGGGTGGCTGGTGTTCAAAAACCTCTAAATGGTTCTTTTATAAAAAAAAATACATACACATTATATGGCAGAAACTACAATAAATCACTTTCAACTTTTACATCCACAAACCTAAAATTGGTCCCGAGATGATGACAAAATGAAACCTATGTATTGCATGACAAAATGAAACCTATGTAGTGCATGACAAAAACTATTCATTGCTTTGTAGAAAATAAATAGTCCAAATGAATGAAATCATTGTCGATGTAAGATTTTAATTCTGAACTTTGTTATTCATTTCTAATGAGTTCAGTGAGTCTACTGCATTCACATTCACAAAAATGTCCTTCTCTTCTACACCCAGCTATAGACTAAAAAGCAGGGAAGACTGTGTTCTCTTGCCTTGAGTGGCAGCTAGTCTAAAGCAAAAAAAATTAATTGAAAACTGTGGAGAAGGCAATGGGCATCCATTCCATTATCTTTCCCCAAAAAGTCATGACAATTCACGGATAATAAAGAAAAGGAATGTATAGAGATCTATGATTGACTACGTCCTCAAGGGACATAGCTAGAAAAAAAACTACTTGTAATAAAAAGTTATTTGCATAATCATATCTTTTCATCGCAGAGAATCAAATTGATTAAAAAAAACAAAAAAACATTGATATTCAGGAAATACATAAACTCCATGTCAATGCAATATTTGTACTACCAGATTTAATGGCCTAAAATCCCATCACCCAATACAAGGCTTGAGAGACATTCAAGGTAGAGGGTTACTGTTAAAATGGTAATGATGAATGTGTGATATGAATGAATGAGTAGATGGTAGGAAATGAAGATAGTGAGAAAAAGAAGTCTAGATAACAACTGATCCTCGACTTGAAAAGGGTAAGATTATTATAGTATTCAGGGAAGTACTCATGTAGGAGTCTGTTGCAGTTGTTGGGGGAAAAGCTGTCTGAGTGTAATTTTGTTCACACCTTTGAAATATAGAGGAAATGAGGATTATTGAACACTGAGGAAAGTAGCATGATGTAGCTTAGATGTAAAGGTCTGAACAGGTGCAACTAAAGAATTTATGCAAGGCACTGTCATATGCCCCAGTCGACGAATGGGTTTATAAGGCGATCATATGCTGACTAGGTGATATATACATTCTCACACCTGTGGAGAGATACAAGCTATCTCTCCCAGATTGTGACAATGGACAATTGGTAAACAAAAATATTTTTAAGACCACTGTCCGGGATAATCCGTTTTCAACACTTCGAATAATGATCCACAATACAAGGATGAACTATAAAACAGTGATTTTTTTGATACAAGAATTTTAATATGTACAAATATACAAATATCAAAATAAAAGAACAGATAAGTATGAGTTAAAACATCCAATGACCAGATCTCAAAACTTACGTTGGGATATCAAAATTCACCTAACTCTAAATGGATTCAACTGAACCCGAACATACAAAAATATAAGTATGAATTACTATGAATTGAATGCAGAAGCCAACGTATACACAAAAGAGATGGGATAGGAGTTACAATTATTGTTTTGACATATGGAAAGGTGTTTGCAAGAACATAATATTCATGGATGTATGTATATCTTTCTACTACGGGTCCAAAATATGATTACTTATCTTTTATATTCAGTTCTCTTTTTTTATCATTGTCCTTTCTTTTCTTGTAACAAACACAATTTCACACACTGTCTGGCTGTAACAGAGGTACACACTTTCTTCCTCTCTTTGTTTCGCCTTTTTCGTTCCTTCCTTTTTCTTCCGTAGACAGTTCGGTTTCCAAACCCGACTCACTGCAACAGGGATGTACACTTTCTTCCTCTCTTTGGTTTTCTTTTTCTTTCCTTCTTTACACAATTCAGCTTATAACAGAGGTATACACTTTCTTCTCTGGTTTTCCTTTTTCTTTCTTTACACAATTCAACTTGTAACAGAGGTATATACTTTCTTCCTCTCTGGATTTCCGTTTTCTTTTCTTTACACAATTCAACTTGTAACAGAGGTATATGCTTTCTTCTCTGGTTTTCCTCAGCGTATAAATTTCTCTGCGTCTTCAATTTGGGGTTCTCGAACAGGAATACTTCTTGTTATATTTCTTGTCCAGAGTTGCCTGGGTTGAACTGGATAAGTTTCATCACTATCAAATGAGTCTTATTTTTCCGTTCATAAACTATCAGCGCTTCGACTTCAGGTCTTGCCTCTTCAAAGTCAAGATAGCAACTGATTCTCGAGTGAATCTCTGACTATCACGTGTCTTAAGTTTTGGCGCGAATTCCAGCTTACATCAGTCCCGTGTCTAGCTTCTGTCTAGATATTTGTCGCTACAGGTAATTGGGTCAGTCAACCTTTTGACCTGCCTTCCCAAAATGTCATAAGACTCCCACGTGACCTTTATTCTGTTGGTAGGCGGAAATTAACCCTAATTTATGCGTGTATGCATGTTTAGGCTATCTGCTTTCGTCACAGGCACAAATATTGGTAGTCTATGAAATCTGGAAACAGATACCTCAACTTTACGTATAATAATAAACAGACATTTGAGAGGAGAGGAGTTTTATATGTCAGAAAATATAGTAATTCAAAACCTGCTAATAAAGGATACGGTAAATTTAATCGGAGTAGTTTCTTGAAAAGTGAGGCCATTTCATTTCGTTTTTCAGCTTGATTGATAGTTGGGGTCTTGGAGAGGGTTACTGTGACAAAGGGCCACTTGATGGCTTTTAACACATCTTCAAAGTCACTGAAAAAATAAAATAAAAAAAATAAAAAAAAAAATAAAGAAAATTTTCAAAGAAATGTTCATAAAATCTTTGCTTCTAGATGATTATTTTTAAATATTTCAGATTTTCTCTTTTATTACAGAAAATACAACAAGAGCCAAAACTTTTCTTGAAACAATTTTTTTTTTTTTAAATGTTAGAATTTTTACTATTAAGTTCAGCTTTAGAAATTTCATTTACTAATTTAATATTTCTACAAGATACTGGAAATTTTTTATTTATTTACTTCATATTAAAAACACCAGAAGTTTCATTAGATGCTTTTCTCCAATATGGTATCAAGTAATCATTGAACATTTTTGTCCAAAATAAAAAATGAGAACAAAATGTGAAGAAGTTTATTATACAGGACGCATGAAATTAAGACTTAATTTTGCATTTATCAATTTCTAATACACAAGTTGATATTTGTTTTCTACAATTTATCAACCATTTGCTAGTTATTTAAAACCAGAAAATAATTTTACATTGTAAGATTTTTATTTTTTTAAGGTATTAATTATTTAGTGACGCAAGTCTTACTAATTAACCCATAGCTGAGTGAGAAGAGGTTGATTTATACCTTTTCCAAGGTTATTTGTGCATAATATAACAAACCTAAAGGGAATTGAAACTCAGCTCTCCGGTTAACAATTCCAACTCATTATCTATTACACCACCTGCACATTCCAAACTTACAACACTTGGAATTTCTAAATGATCACCCATTTAGGTACTGAACAGGCTTAACTTTGGTGATCATATGAGAACTGGTGTTTTTTAAGTTTGTTACTATTTATAGTTGTTAGTAGCATAATAAAAACATTATTAAATCTTTTAGAAAATAAAAAAAATAATATATTAGTTTTAAAAATGAATACAAAAAACAAATTAGTTAAATTTTACTGTAGTTTTTATAATTTTACATTTATTTGAATTTCATTAATCAGTTTAAAAAGAAGCATTTAGTTTTGTGTGTGTGTGTGAGAGAGTGGGTGGTTGTGTGTGTGAAATCCATTTATTAAAAACCCACCACTATTTGAGAAAAGGAAGAATTTCTTTTTATAAAATTAATTGCTTTTAGAATAAATAAAATAGAAATTTAATTACAAATTCTGTATCATATATGAAAAGGTATGTCAGACAATTGCCTGAGCTGAATCTGCTATTGATTAACACAACTGCACCAAGAGAAAAAAAGAAATATGTAAATGCTTGGTTTGGTTGTTTTGTTTAACAGCATTCCAACCTAAGTATGTAAATGCTAATGAAATTATTAGTCATTGATGATGGTAACTGTAAGTGATGCAATGCTGCATAAATATTTCTTAAAAATAAAAACGTGTATGCATGTAATGCCACAGTTCATAGATTTGGCAAGTAGAGTTCAAATTTGAGCCAAATCTGCTGCAAAGGCATGAATCCATCTTTTCTCTTCTCAAACCAAGAATTAACTAACTGGATAGTTTGAGCATTCTAGCATTGAGTGGTAGCCAGTTTAAGAGAAGGAAAACTAAATTCAAACCATTTGGGCCATTTATATGCCATGAAGACATTCCTTGCATTGAGGCTGGGTTTGGACAGTCACCACACAACTGATCCTCCACTAGCTGTTCTGGACCTCATCTTGCCACTGTTTTTAGAGGGGATATAGGCAAAATGCAATCCCATGCTAACCTTAAAAACAATCCACTCATACACTGTTCCTTATAAGGAACCCGCTTATTTTAAATGGATAGCAATATAGTTAAAAAACAGAAAAAATATGTAATTCTATCAATATATTGAAGCTGTAGAGAGAAAAAGAATATATTACTTGGCAATTTTTGTTTTGAGAATCTTGTACCAGAAAAGGATTGTATTTTTGTGAAATTTCAAAAGATTCTGGCAACTGGAAATCTCAAGGTCTGTGTATAGATTTGTCATGTCTTGAAATGCTTCTACTGCTTCCCACATAGTCTCTGTAATTAATGCAGTTTGGATGGAGGAGCTGAAAAAAACAAAAAAAAAAAAAAAACAGAAAAATCTGTAAAATGATAAGATCAAAGGAAAAACAAATAAATAAAATTGTACTCAATACATAAAACTAAGATTACAAAATCTCTTGATAATATTTTTTTTATAAACAATTCCAATAGAACCTTTGTGGTATATAGATTAGGTTCTAATTATCACTAAATAGATAAAGAGAAGTAAGATGTTGAATAAAAATATCAGCAAACTTGGACAACAAAACCCCCAAAAAATAACATGGAGTGTCAAAGGGATGGTTTTTCCACGGAGACCGCCATTATTTTAACTACCATCATTCCTTAGCAATGTTTATCATTTTAAAAAGCATTGATTAAAATTGTAATAAGGCCTAAAAATATGATGAAAGCAAATTTATACATTTTCTTTATTCTTGAGAACTGACAACAAAAATAAAAATAAACATTATTATTAGATTGTTTATTTATACTATTTATTCATTATATTATTTATATTGGAATGATTGGTGGTTTTTATAAAATGGTAAATAATAAGGATTTCCTTGTCATTGGTCCATATTTTAACAATTTAGTTTATAAATTTATGAATAAATTGTTTTCACATTTATTTCTTTATAAATTGGTAAATGATAAAGATTGCATTAGTTTTAATTTAATTGTATTAGTTTTTAGAATGTTGTAAATATAAAATTATTCTTGTAAATAAACAATCTAATAAACAAATAGTGTTTAATATTTTTGTTGTAAATTCTCAAGAACAAAACAAAAAATGTTTAAATTCACTTTTATCATGTGTTTAGGTTTTATTACAATTCTAATCATTGCTTTTTAAAACAATAAACATTGCCAAGGAGGTAGTTAAAATAATAGTGTTGTCAAGGGGTAAACCATCTTACTGAGACTTTTTTTTTGCAGGCATGACAGTTCAAGTTTGACAAAATACCAAAATTTGAACAAACCTTTAAAGAAAGATGAGAATTGCAAAGAATTGGCTGGTATTTATTTTTTTGTATTTTACAATCTTCTTTGAACAAATTGTTTCAGCTTGCTTTAATGAAAAAAATTATTTTAAACATAATTCGGATTGCATGTATGGGAGCTACCCTACTTACAAACAGGATAAGTTCCTGGAATCTGTAAGACTAAATGTTCTGAATAATAAAAGTATTTTACAATATTACTGTACTTTATTACTGACATTAACTTCATTTTTGGTAGTAACATTAAAAGTTATCACAGCTCTTTCAGTTGATATCAAAAAAATTTCTCTTATATTTTTTTTTAAACTAAGGTTCACCCAATATAAGGTCTATGTTGTTCGACCTTGATTTGTAAGCAATGTGGATGAGAACAAAATAACTGGCCTCCAGCAAGACTTAAATACACAGACTTTAAGGCAGACTTCCTAAAGGAAATGCTACTTTTTCAATTACTCTATTCTCCCCCAGCCCTCAAATCACATTAATGATCTTTTACTTTCTTTTGGTATTTGCAACAGAAGCTGACACATTTTATGCAAATACAGGTCATGAGTCATTTAGAAAACATTGTAATGATACATTATATCAAGCATAAAATATTGGGTCATTTAATAATGAGTTGTTATTGTTGTAACATCCCAGACAATAGTTTATTCAGCTATACCATGCATGAAGTATATAACATAATATTCATTCGTCATATTACTCTTCTTGAGCAACAATAATCTTTATAAATTCTATTGTCAGCTGAAATTTAAAGTACTGAGTAGAAGTTTATTCATCGTAAGAAACAACCTGATTACTGAACAGACAATGACATCATCCTTCAACATTTAACCACTTCTTTATACTACATCAGAAATTTAAGCTGCTTGAGCATGTATCATCTGCTTTTCTGACAGAAAACAGATGCTGCATTAGGCACTTGCTTAAACTTTTGAATTTCAAAATATTTTTGGTACATTTCAATTTGTGGGAAAATAGTTGTGTTTGTTTTTCACTCTAAATCAATCAAAAGGTTTCCCTCCAAATTCCAAGATGTAAATCTGGAGCCTATCTGGGTGAATAAATCAAAAGCCAGGAATTGAATTTAACAAGTTGACTAACATCTGCTGCATGAACCCAGGTTGCCCGAGTCCAGAAAGAAAAACAACACAGAAAAAAATTTGATGACCACTAGATGAGAATTGAAAGGAACATCAAAGTCTCTCCCACATCAAAGAAAATTATTTGGCTGATGTGATTGTTCTGTTTTTCGCTGTTACCACAGACTTTGCTTCAAAAATTGTACCTATTCTTTGAAAACTATTCAGGGAAGTATTTTTTCCTTTATTCATTTTATTTTTATGTTCTTTACCTTTTCTGAGGACCTTATGCAGCATTGTAATTTTTATTATAAAAATGGCATATTTCTTTTGCAGTGATTATTTTTACATACATGTTACTGGCCATCATTTGACACACAAAGCACTTAATTTGTGTAATTCTTTCATTTTTTCTGTTAACAATAAATTTGTTATCTGTTTTTTAAACTCAGCTAATGATATCTGTCTTTGTAGTGTGCCCTTATGAATTAAATGTTACCACAAAAATTTGTTTGAACTATTTTTTTCATAGGTTTTTATTTACTAAATAAAAATCATTTAACTATGCTCTGCTGATGATTGCCATTCTATTTCCTTAATATAGCTTTTGTCACATTAAATTGTATCAGTTTACTTTTTTCCTTTGGTATGTATAGGTTCCTATAAAAAGGAAGGGCGAGCCATTTTCATTGTTAAGTTTCTATAGTTTTCTGTAAAAAGCAAGAGCCAGCCATTTCCATTTTCAACTTCCTAGAATCGTACAAATGAACATTAAAATACCAATAAAATTCCTAATGATTTCAGTTTGTTAAATGAATATCGATTATCTAAAAATATATTTGTGTGAAGGGGTGGGATACTTGCATCCTTAAATGGCTGGTAAATTTTCCTTGCAATCCAAAATAAATAAATGTATCAATCTATATAATGAATCTATTATAGATTTTACAAGTGATTAAATGAGCTTACTAAATAAAGAGTACAAAATTAGTAAATTAAGATATTTACAAAAGAGTATTGAGATATTCTCAGCCTGGCCCACTTGCTAAAGTTTAATGAAACAAGGGTTTCTTGATTGGGCAAAAACTTTTTAGCACCCCTTTATACATATAAAAATAAATATTTTAAAAGTATATATTCACATAATATATACAAATATATTAAAATTATTTTTAATATATTTGTATATATTATGTGAATATATACATACTTTAAAAATGTCCATTTTAAAGCCGGAATAAAATATTCTATCACCTATAGATTATTTACACATATATAACCCTCATCCAACAATTGTTTTAAAGCTAACAATCTATATGACACATTTGTACATAACATTTGTTCTAAGACTAACAGTCAATATATTTTTCTCTTTCAGGATGTCTGTTTTTCTTAATGTTTAATAAACAATCTGATCTCATCTTAAACAGAGGCTGTACTTTCACTTATTACAGATTTGGCCAAAGACTCTCTGTATCGAGTAAAGCAAGATAGTGTTTGAATTCACACCACAGCCAGATTAGGAATAGGTATAATGGGCAAAACAAAACACCTATTCATCGGATAAAAACAGCTTACTACATAAGACTACTCATGCCTTATTTTGGTAAATAAAATAAAATGTGTTAAACTATAAGAATAATGAAAATGTGCACCCTTTTTTATTCTTTCCAGAATAACAACATGATGCATTATGGTAATTATTTTTTTTTGCATGTGCATTGTGGAATTGATGCATTTGTGACACTAAGAATGCTGATAATTTGAGGAAAGCAAAACAAGCTTAAATTAAATTGAAAATGAACACAAAGATGAAGAGAGTAGATAGATTGAAGGACATACTGAAAACAAAAGAAAATGTACTTTTATTTTGTTTCTCATTTTATGAATAAAGACCTCGCTAGAAGATAGTGCTGAAATCCACTTGCGCTTTTGATTAAAGTGAAGCCCAAGGAACAAGGTGAGGGGAGTGCGATTTTGGACAGAGACCACCAAGCTAGTTACAAATAATAATTTTATGGCTACAGATGGTTGAGTAAAAGGGTTAAAGAAATGATTCTATGTCACTTGTTGATAGGGGTGGAGGATGCGTGTGTTGCTAAAGGAACAAGATTTTCTCCGACTGGAAAATTTTGGTCAAGTGGGAAAGAGAGGAAGAGTTATGGACCAAATGTGATAATTAAGAATGAAGGAATGCAGATAATAATTTTACAGTGACATTAAAAACAACACCTATTTTGTGTCAGGCACCCACAGGTCGGGTGGAGCACCTATTCCATGGATGGTGGCAGTGTGAGGAGCCGATATGAGGAAGTGGGAGGAAAATGAATATGTCCACTGAAAGGTACTGGTATGAGGTGTGAGCAAGAGAAGTGGGGAGAACTAGATGGTGGATCAACATGCAAATTGTTTCCCAGGATACTGTGGATATTTGGAAAACCATGGAACTCCAGATCATGGCGAACCCCACACCAATGTTGGGTGAGGGTCCATAAAAAGTGTTATACCAGAGGGGAATGGCAGAATATAGAAGACAGAGAGAGCAGCAGTTGAGACAGAGACATGCTTCAATTACGCTATGTGATTTGATGCCAGGAAGAACTCCTGACCTCCTGACTCATGCTTTGTTCCAGACTATTAGATAAATTGAGCAGAGTTCCTTGGTGAAATCTCAAAGTGGAAGAATTAAAAGTCTCTATATAATGAGAGAGAGAGAGAGAGAGAGAGAGATTAGTGCACCATCAGCATTCTGTAATTTGCTGTCTGAAGAAATCTCTGACTTGAAGTTTGAAACCTTGACTCCAACTTGGAAACGAAGAACAAAGCACCACGAAATTAGATTATGAATGAATGGTCATTAACCTGCATGCTTGTAGATTCTTATACAAAAAAGTGTTCCAGTTATATAAATCTTGTTGATTTACACAACTTTAT